TGCACTCCAGCCTGGGCTACAGAGCAAGACTCCATCTCACATAATAATAATAACAACAACAATAATAATAATAATAATAATAGTAGCCTTCTTCCTTCTTCTTGTTGCTTGTTTGTTAGCTGCTGAGTTCTTTTTTTCGCCTCTTTTGTTGCTGCTTGTTGCAGCTTGTATACAAACAGAAATGGTATATCTATCTCTCTCTCTGGCAAAAGGCATAGAAACAGAAACGGCATATCTAACTACCTGTATGTGGCCTTTTTCTTTTCTGCAAGTGCCTGAAACATAAATGTGACATCAAGTCATCTTGGACCATGCAGATGAGAACAACAGCTTGGGGATTACAGAGTAATAAAATGGAAAGAAGACAAGAAATAACCAAAATCAGAGCTGAACTGAGGGAAACTGAGACACAGGAAACCATTCAAAAGATCAATGAATCCAGGCGCTGGTTGAAAACATCAATAAAATAGCTAGAATGCTAGCTAGACTAATAAAGAATAAAAGAGAGAAAATCCAAATAAACACAATCCAAAACAAGAAGGATATTACCACAGACTCCACCGAAACACAAACAACCATCAGAGAATGTTATGAACATCTCTATGCATATAAGCTAGAAAATCTAGAAGAAATAGATAAATTCCTGGACTCCCAAGACTGAACCAGGAAGAATTTAAATCCCTGACCAGACCAATAACAAGCTCTGAAATTCAATCAGTTATAAATAGCCTACCAACCAAGAAAAGCCCAGGACCAGATGGATTCACAACTGAGTTCTACCAGATGTACAAAGAACAGCTGGTACCATTCCTACTGAAGGTATTTTTTTAAAAAAATGAGGAAGAGAGAATCCTCCCCTAACTTATTCTGTAGTCCAGCATCATCCCGCTACTAAAACCTAGCAGAAGCACAATAACAAAAAAACTTCAGGCCAGTATTCTTGATGAACATAGATGTAAAACTCCTCAGCAAAATATTGGAAAACTGAATCTAGCAGCACATCAAAAATCTTATCCAACAAAATCAAGTAGGCTTTATACCTGGGATGCAAGATTGGTTCAGCATACACAAATCAAAACATGTGATTCATCACATAAACAGAACTAAAGACAAAAACTATGTAATTATCTCAATAGATGCAGAAAAGGCTTTTAGTAAAATTCCACACCCCTTCATGTTAAAAACTCTCAATAAACTAGGTATTGAAGGAATATACCTCAAAATAATAAGAGCCATCTATGACTAACCTACAGCCAACATCACACCGAGGGCAAAAGCTGGAAGCATTCCCTTTGAAAACTGGAACGAGACCAAGATGCCCTCTCTCACCACTCCTATTCAACATAGTATTGGAAGTCCTGACCAGAGCAAACAGGCAAGAGAAAGAAATAAAGGGCATCAAAATAGGAAAAGAGGAAGTCAAACTATCCCTGTTTACAGATGACATGATCCTATAACTAGAAAACCCCATGGTCTCAGCCCAGAAGCTCCTTAAGCTAATAAAACAACTACAGCAAAGTCTCAGGATACAAAATCAATGTGCAAAAACCACTAGCATGCCTATATACCAATAACAGTCAAACTGAGAGCAGAATCAGGAATGCAATCCCACTCACAATTGCCACACATGCACACAATAAAATACTTAGAAATACCAGTTAACCAGAGAAGTGAAAGATCTCTACAACGAGGGCTACAAAACACTACTCAAAGAAATCAGAGATGACACAAACAAATGGAAAAACATTCCATGCTCATGAATAGGAAGAATATATCCTTAAAATGGTCATACTGCCCAAAGCAATTTATAAATTCAATGCTATTCCTATTAAACTACCAATGACATTCTTCACGGAACTAGAAAAAAAATTTTTAAATTCATACATTACCAAAAAAGAGCCTGAATAGCCAAAGCAATCTTAAGCAAAAAGAACAAAGCTGGAGGCAGCATGCTACACAACTTCAAACTATATTATAGGACTACAGTAACCAAAACAGCATGGTACTGGTACAAAAACAGACACATAGACAAATGGAACAGAATAGAAACTCCAGAAATAAGGCCACACACCTAAAACTATCTGATCTTTGACAAACCTGACAAAAACAAGCAAAGGGGAAAGGACTTCCTATTTAATCTTTAGGACTTCCTAAAGATTGAAACTGGATCCCTTTCTTACACTGTATACAAAAATCAACTCAAGATGGATTAAAGACTTAAATGTAAAACCCAAAACTACAAAAACCCTGAAAGATAACCTAGGCAATATCATTCTGAACACAGGCATGGGCAAAGATTTAATTACAAAGACATCAAAAGCAATTACAATGAAAGCAAAAATTGACAAATGAGATGTACTTAAACTAAAGAATTTCTGGACAGCAAAAGAAATTATCAGCAGAGTAAGCAGATAACCTACAGAATGGGAGAAAAATTTTGCAGACTATGCATCTAACAAAGGAATAATATTCAGCATCGATAAGGAACTTAAACAAATTT